ATATATATATATATATATGGGTAGATTCAACGGTCGGACCGTGCGCCCCTGAGACCTTTGGGTACGTAGTAACCTTCAGCGGATTTCACTCTCACCAAACCTCCCATTTGCAATAGGGTGACTATTTCGCTTCTCTAGCAAAGCTTCAGAAAACCGAATATTTGCAACGACCATCCGAATTGTACTTTCGCTCACTAACACCATATATTGCAGACCCGAACTGTTTTCTTAGTCCAAGTTATTCGATCCTGTCCTTTTTTAAAATTTTTCTTGTTCAGGCATGAATGGTGGAGGGGATTTTGAACCGGAGTTGATTGAGGCCATCTACCAGAGCATTCGGAACAATGAAATTGTCATGCCTAGCGAGCAGACGGGAACAGTACGGGAAAATTATCTGTGGAAGGTTAGTCCACCCTCTGTCGCCTTCCAGTGGGCGATTTTCTTCAATCAGTCTTACGTTTCACCCCTCGCCCCCACTCTGTACCCGTCTTCTGTTCCTTCATCTTGTCTCCTTCCTAGTCCTCATGCTCTTCCTGCTCTTCTTCTCTAACAAGTTTTCATTCCGAGTGACCACCGCTGCAATTAAAATGGTACTGAAGCAATCGTAATGACTGATCTCAAACAAACAAAAGAATTCCTCAAAGCTTGCTACTATCACGACCATCATCAACCGCCATTTCGATCTGGACGTTTATTACGAAGTACGGCTCATTAACTTGCGTCCACCCCCTACCGACAGCAGCTACTCTGCACTCAGCCATTGGAAAGTCATAGTCACGCTATCACCTCCCACAGACCTGGTGAAACAACCGAATCTCCTGACGCCTCTAACACTCGTTGATGAACATTCGTCGACCGCTACCGGAAATAATTTGTCCTGTTTTGCTTCGGACCCCACTTCTTGGGCCCTGATAGCAGCCACGCAGCGGCTAGTAGTCTTAGGCAGATAGTATTACCGGCAAAGACAAGGGTGACTGGAATGACCATTGCTGGCTTATTAGCCGTCGTCAGCCAGTCATACCCAATCGCAAGTGGTGCACCAACCGAGGCTTGAACTCGCGCCCTTTTTTGAGCAGAAGCCAACGCTCTAAGTACTGAGACACGGGCTTGTTGTCTTGCCGCTTTAGGTTGGAACATATTGACATTCGTTGATGAACCTTCACCGACCGCCAACAGAACTCACTTGTCCCGCTCGGCCTTGGGCCTCATTTCTCGCCACCTAAGCCGACAAGCTATTGGTTCGGAAAGGTCGCGGGTTCGAACCTCGGGTGGTGCACCACTTTGGGTTGGATATGAATGGCTGACAATGGCTAATAAGCCAGAAATGAAAATTCAAGTCTCCCTTGTCTTTGCCAGCAGTTCTAGAAAACTATTTCTTCATGTGAAACCGTACAGACATTCTTAGAACACTGTCTACTCCGAAACCCATGATGATGTGGGAGTTCTTCTTGAACGTCCAGAAGTACTGTTCGGACAAAAGCGTACACCCTTTCCACCGATTGCAATCAAATGTATTTAAAACATTACGTGTTCTAAAAATAGATGCACTGCTTTCCGTAAGTGCAACCAATAACCCTGACTCAGCTTCTTTGGAATTCCTAGGTTTTCCGTTTTTTTCTGGGGCTTTTTTTGGCGCAGAATTTAACTGGGGTAAGAATGAGTGTAAGTGAGGGCTCATTTCATCGCTTCCGGCCATTGTTTCCCATCCAACTGATAACGCCCAAACGGTTGCTTTCATCCTGAATTGGGGCAAATGTTCGCATCCCAGGTATGTGTGTATATAGAGAAGGAGAAGGCGTGTCGATCACCGGAATAATAATTTTATTTCTCTGAGCTTTCAGGCTTTTACTGGAGTCTATCGTCAAAGGTAAAAGCGTCAACAACAAAAAAGCAACAGTTATAGGAGGCAGGGGCCCAATCAACGACCAGTGCCGCCCTACACATTCATCTCCGGACTGACGGCACTGGCGGTTGATTGGCCTCTGTCCCCTATAACTGTTGCTTGTTTGTTGTTGACGG